CAAGCAAGTCGAATGCGCCGGCGAGTGACGCTTCCCCGCTAATAACCGAGCCACCCTCCGCTACTAAATTAAACCAACACGTCGAGGCCTCGAGGGGTTGCTGCACACGAGCTGCGCAACGCGTGTCTCTTCGCTCGGCAATTTACTTCCACTCCGCTTGTTGAGCCGCCTTGCGATAATTCGCGTATTTGCGAATCAATGCGTTGGAGGCGGCGACGACTACAAGCGGGGAACGCGTCTCCCGGCTTGGTCTGTCTGCTCGGCGGTTCGACGGGTTGGTAGTGGCGTCGGTGGTGACTACGGCGGGTGAGTTGTCGGGGGTGTAGGTTGAGGGTGAAGGTCGGGGGAGGGGGACGCGAATGCTTTGTGCTTCGTGTGAAAGCTTATGGTGTAATGGGAATTGGCGCGCTTGGAGGGTCTACTCGAAGAAACTCTTCTTACGGTCACTGGGGACTCAATCGTCTTATCGCTAATTCATTGGAGGGGAATTGTGATAAACTATCGTGTAAGACTTGCAGCGAGTTTTTGGAATTTTGAATTCGTGTTTGTGTCTCGTGAGAATGAGGCGCGACCGCGTTACGAGATGTTGTCGTTATTAGGAATAAATGTTTTCCGAAGACAATCCCCAGCCAATCCCATTATTAACGCTCGATCGATTTATTTGCATTTGCATAAAATTTTGCCATTATAATCACTAAACGGCGGATGGTCGATCAATCAACTATAGATAAACACGTCTTTTACATTGATAAAAAAATGTATTAAAATAACTGGATGCTATATTATTTTTCATTTTATCGATGTGGCCGATAGCTTAATCAATGGGACACACGCACACACGCGCATATATATATATATATATATATATATATATATACTATATACAGTCAGACGGCATTATATTATGAATAAGAGTTATACGATAAACGTGAAATCGTAGCTTTTCATTTGAATAATTTCCGCAAGGAAATTCTCTCCTCGTCTATCGACGTATGAAAATGAGCGCCGATGAAATAATCGAATATTAATTTGCCGGAACATTGTCCTCGATCCAATGACATTTTTCGCCTTCGCTAACAAATATCCAATGATAATACAATAAATATTAGATAGATCATTAATTTTGCGATTAAGCACGTGTTTCCCGAATAAACTATATATAAGAAAAACAAAAAAAAAAAAAAAAAAAAAAAAAAGAAAAAAGAATAAAAAATCAAGAAAAAACAATGAAGAAAAAAAAAAACAACAAAAGACGGTATAAAAAGACACGAGCATTGTTTTCAATGAAAGCCAGCAGAGTTTCGAGAGTCGGGGCGAAATATCTTTCCAATCAAAATGCTCCTCTCGACCTCCTTCCCTTCCGACCACAATCACACGATATCCGCTTCGTGACGGATAGAACGAGCAGGAGGCACATTGACTTCGACGTTCCATTTCTTCCCTCTTGCATTGTGCGCTATCCTTACCTATCCAGCTAACCCAAGTGCGGCAAGCACATATGCTTAGTCGAGGACCCTCGGTAATAGGGATGGAGAGGTAAAGAGACACGCGACAAGTAGTCGTGCCGGGAAAACATGGCCGTAAATTTGCCCAATGATTTATGAGAGTCGAGTAAATCATCCGGGTATGGAAGTTTATAATTCTATTGTACATATAATAAACTTCCTAAATATAACGGGATGAATAATGGCTGATGTGGGGTTTAAGGGGGTTTGGTTGATTATATGTTTTCATGCGTGAGAATTTTACTCGTAGCCGAGTGAATTATCATTAGGTAGGGATGAGGATGGATAGGTGGTCATTCGTCGGTTCGTGTTCCCGCAGGGAAAGTCCACTCGATTCCGATAATTATCCCATCAAACCAAGTGAAATTTCCTCGCCCGTTTTACACTATCGATTGTTGGGTATGATTTTTCGAGGGAGAAGAGACATCGAAGTACTTTGCATGAATACGGGGGATCATTCGATCAACGCCACAAGCCCGCGCGCCAAAAGTATAATTAATAAAAAATAATGGAATATCCAGTTATTTTATTATTCTCTCTCTCTCTCTCTCTCTCTCTCTCTCTCTCTCTCTCACTCTCTCTCTCTCTCTCTCTCTCTCTCTCACTCATTTCTCACCTTTTCATTTTTATATTAATGCCTCGTACTGGTAATATTTTGGCTTCCTTTTCATTTTCATGAAGACGAAGAAGCTTTGTAAGACGTTCTTTAATCAGACATTGAAAGAAGAAGTCGTATGATATTATGAATTAGTGGAGTGGAATTTATCAAGCCTTAAACCAATAGCAATGAGAATAAGTTTAATATAGTTTTATTTGTGAAGATGAGAGGCTTAAATTATTTCGATAAAATGAAATCTATTAATGTTCGTAAAAACGGATATATAACGGATATATATAATGCCGAATAAAAAAAAAGTCGTATGGTTTATTAGATTGTTTTCCTGATTACGGCATCAAACGGAGGAGAAATAAAAAGAAATGGCAAAAAGTTGGTGAAATTTTCAAAACGGGCAATATACTTTTAAATAAAAAATTATTCTAACCATAAATTTATCAATGCTCGAGAAATGAATTGCCGATGAGAGATAAGTTTAACTTCATTATACTTGCCCAGCGAACCCGCCTCTCATTACTTTCAAACCCATCCTTTACTTATCTATGACTTTTATATAAAATTATTATTTACATGCTGATACTTTACAGAAGTTGATTTTCGATTTTCGTTTATTAACGAGCTAATACGCTTAATCCGCGGAACACACATGTTTACGAATAAAAATCATCGATCTCCGAATGTTCTCAAGTAAACGCTATTTTTCATTCCATACGGATAAAAATTACTATAATATAATTTATATAATTAAATATATGAGGAGTCTTGGAAGATGGAAGAGCAATTTCTTAAGCGCCATTCAGAACGCATAAGAAACATATACGTGTAATGGAAAAATATTTTAAAGCGCAGAAATAACTTTGTAGCGAGTAAAATCAAAACTCTGAATCTCACTTTTGTTGTATTTCCCCATTTTAAAACGAACGTTTTAATTTACGCGAAATATAGCTTGCATATACAGAATGTCTTTTAATAAATCAAAATGTAACAACTACGCGTTAATAACAGCTTAACTGTAAATATCCATGCTTTTTTCTATTTTTCATCATCGCCTCTATTCATTATACGCATAAAATTACAATTAAACCTGTAATTTATCCGAATTAAAATTTATCTATTTTATTCATTTTTCTAAACATACTCCAAATAGAATTAACATTTTTATTTTACGAATAATTTATACGTATTTTCAAATTATTCGGCAATAAATGGTTTAAAAAAAAAAAAAAAAAAAAAAAAAAAAAAAACTAATACTTTTCTGTTGTTTTCGTTGCTAAACTATAATAAATTGTCTACAAGAGGGCTTGCAAGTTTTTATTTAATATCGAATATCTACATTTTAGTGATATAAATATCTAATTATCTTATACATATTATTATTATACATTATATTTATTATAATATTATATATATATATATATATATAT